AGAGCATGCCAGCCGGCCCCCACCCCTGCACCAGGCCTCTATCCTATATAATAAAAGGATAATATGCAAATTGACCTTGAAGGAAGAACGACCAGAACAACCACTGGACCAGTCACTGTAAGGCACACTGACCACTTCTGGGTCCCTTTCCCCAGCCGGCAGGCTCCAATCACCTGATGGCGAATGAAGAACTGGGGGTGGGTGGTAGGGGATGCGGGCGGCGCCAGGCCAAGGCCCCCGCCCTGCCAGTTGCCCCCTACACACAGGGTGACGTGTGGCAGAGGCAGGGTTGGTGAGCGGGCAGGAAAAGCCGACCTCTCAGTCCCTTCCCCTGGCCATCAGGCACCGATCACCCGATGGTGAAAGGGGAACCAGGAGTGGGTGGCAGCAGGGGGAGGGGCCAGCTGTGGGCAGCCGGGGAAGATGGCCCTGATCACAGGCCAGCCCTAGGGACCGTACCCACGCATGAATTTTGTGCGCTGGGCCTCTAGTCCTTAAATATTGACCTTAAACAATCATTCCTTTTCTTTTTCCTGCATACTATAATTGGCTGATCTTTGGATTTGGGAGATTTTTCAGAATTGTGTTGCATTTCCCATGCTTTCAAACACTATTCAGACAGAATGAGGATCACCTGAAGATATATCTGAACCAGATAATGTCCTAAAAGTAAATTAAATATGTATACACTGACCACTAAAAGAGGTGTAGAGTCATTGATGCTCCAGTCCCTCAGGATAGGTGTTACCTAGTTTGAAATTAACACAATGGTGAGAAAGTTTTCAATATTCCCAGCGTGATGATATGACCATACTGAACACTCTCCCTAAAAGAGTAGAATCAATAACTATATACCAAATATTAAGAACAGTCCTTCAAGCATCACCAGGAAAATAAAGGCATAAAGACTAGACACATCCCACAGCTAGAGGAATCCCTATAGTTAATAAAGTTATAACAAATGGAAATACTAAGCAGACCTTAGAAGTAATCAGACCAACCCCTCATCTTTGTTTTCTTGGTTCAGCAATGTATCAATGTGCAATTTGGGTTTTATTTTTATTATAGGGCAGATATTTCTGGCAGAATTCTACCACTTAGAAATAGAACAGCCCTGTCCTGGCCAGTGTTGTTCAGTGGTTAGAGTGTCGGTCTGCACACCAAAAGGGTTGCAGGTTTGATTTCCAGTCAAGGACACATACCTGGGTTGTAGGTTCCATCCCCAGCTCTGAATGGGGTGCATTTGGGAGGCAATCAATTGATGTGTTTTTCATGTGTTTCTCTGGTTCTCTCCTCCCTTACACTCTCTCTAAAAATAATCAATGGAGCCCTAGCCCGTTTGCTCAGTAGATAGAGCGTCAGTCTGCAGATCAAAGGGTCCTGGGTTCAATTCTAGTGGAGGGCACCTACCTTGGTTGCAGGCTCCTCTCCACTCTGGCCCTGGTCAAGGTGCATGCAGGAGGCAACCAATCAATGTGTTTCTCTCATATCAATGTCTCTCTTTGTCTTTCCCTCTCTCTTCTACTCTCCCTAAAAAATCAATGGAAAATATCCTTGGGTGAGGATTAATAAAACAACAAAAAAATCAATGGAAAAAATATCCTCAGGTAAGGATTAAGAAAAAAAGAAAAGAACCCTGTCCTCTGTAGAGGCAGATAAGTCAACAATATCTATTACGCTCTAAGCACATGTTCAATACAAAAAATTCTCCTTTCCTGACAAAAAGTTTACAGTCTTACTGAGGAAATTGTATTAGCATTTATTTACTCATTTAAGAAACATTTCTGGCACTATGCTAAGTACTACATATAAAAAGACCATTATAAGAGTTTATAACCTATACATTTGAAACTATCAAAATAATTCAAAAACATAATAAAATGATTTTATGATGTATAATTAAAGACATGTCTTGTTCCCCTCCTTGCTCAATTGCCTTACTCCCATGTTAACATCAGCTTCAAACAAGTGTATTCAATATAACAAGAAATTTTAAAATCACGGTTTTATTAAATGGCAGATTCATTATTTTAAATGAGTTTGTATTAGTTTTCTATTGCTGTCTTAACATTACCATAAACTAAGTTAAAACCACACATTTATTATTTTACTTAGAGTTCCATAGGTCAGAAGCCTAAAGTGGGTTTCACTAAGCTAAAATCAAGGTGTTGGCAGAGCTTTAGGAGAAAATCCTTTTTCTTGCCTTTCCCACTTTCTAGAGGCTGCCTGCTTTCTTTGGCTTTGGCCCTTTCCTCTATCTTCAAAGCCAGCAGCATCAGGCCAACTGCCTCTCACACTGCCATCTCTCTGATTCTACTGTCTCCCTCTTCTACTTTTAAAGACTTATGATTACACTAGAGCCATGGTGGGCAAACTGCTGCTCGCGAGCCACATGCGGCTCTTTGGCCCCTTGAGTGTGGCTCTTCCGAAGCCATAGGAGTACCCTAATTAAGTTAATAACAATGTAATTACCTAAATAGTTTAAGTTTAAAAAATTTGACTCTCGCCCTAACCGGTTTGGCTCAGTGGATAGAGCATTGGCCTGCGGACTCAAGGGTCCCAGGTTCTATTCCGGTCAAGGGCATGTACCTTGGTTGCGGGCACATCCCCAGTGGGGAGTGTGCAGGAGGCAGCTGATCGATGTTTCTCTCTCATCGATGTTTCTAA